AAAAAAAAAAAAAAAAAAAAAAAAAAAAAAGTAGGGTCCAGCTCAGTGCTGAACAATGGTCCTTTTCTGCTTTTAGGTAGCTGCTGTCCTTTTCATTTACCTCTCACCTATGTCATCCTCTCAGATTGTTTCGGTGCTGGTGAAGGATCCCACTCTGTTATACTTGCACTCCTTAATTACGGTTGTAACGCATTCATTGCATTATTTGAAGTCAGCAATTCCTGTGTCACTTCCACAACTGAGTATATTCATTTCACAAAAATTGGAAAAATGGGTGGCAAGCCAACTTTCTCTATGTTATTAAGGAAAGTGTAGTATTCCTCCCTCACTTTTCATTCAGAGATAACTTCCTTCTGTTTGCTGTATCACTGAATAATCTCCCTGCTCCCCACCCAAGTACTGTGCAGAATGGTGAGAGCACTGGCAGAGCCTGCTAGCTGGACAGATATATCACTGCAATTGGGAAAATATCACCAGAGGGCCAGGGCCAGGCTTAAAAATAGGGCAATTAGCTCTCAGCAAGAGAAGGTGTGTCAGATGCTCCTGACTCCGAGCGACAGATGATGCTGACCTAAGCCAGGCATGATAGTAAGGTGTGACAGTGGCTGGCTGCCTCCCACAGGGTCACACAGGATCTCAGTGGAGCTGGTTCCACTGCTCACCCCAGGAGCATGGGCCAGCAGCACTTTGCAGAAGTGTGCGTGCATGTGTGTGTGTTCACATTGTGACACACAGATAGATACATAGAAAGATAGATACACAGATAGATGGCATCAAATGCCCATTGTTTTATTGCTTTTTGTACCATTACGAGCAATTCTGTGGCACAAGTACTGTGCTGTGTGTTGAGGACAATGTCACAGTGGCAGTGGTGTGACTCTGGAGACCGGCCTTGCCTCAGCACCTGTTGCTCTTCTGGAGGGGACCTCAGCCACAGTTGCTGAGCACCTGGCCCATGGCACAGGCCCACCTCCTGTGACCCACTGAAGCAGGGAGCGTGTCGCTGAGCCAAGAGGAGACAGACTTTGCTGGAGCTGCATGGGCGGATGCAGGAGTGAGGGGCTCCCTGGCCTGTGGGTTGCTGCTCTTGGCATAGGCTGGAGAAGCAGCTCAAAAGCACATGCAGTCTGTCTGGATGAGAAGGGAAGGAAGAAGCCAGCTGACCTAGGTCAGCAGGGAGAAGAGGGGAACCGGGCACCACCCCTCCCACCATCTCCCCCAACACTTGAGTGAACACATGTTTTCACTGCATTCACGTCTGGGTTACACTCATGAGGCCAAGATGGAGGTGGGCATGGGTTGTGGAGAGGTGGGACGCCACCAAGCACATAGGCTCTCTGCCCTCTCTGTGAAGCTCTTGCACTTGGGTGTGCCTGGGAAAGCTGGCAGGGCAGAAGGGCTCGCATGGCATCCTGGGTCCTTGCCCTCTGTATTAGGCTACCAGGTATGACAGCCGGCATGGCGGAGTGTGGCTCCCAGAACTCAGCTTCTGTCCCCCAAGTCCCTCATTCTGGTCAAGGAGAGAAGACAACACTGGAGCGATAGAACAATTTGGGGTACTGGTGGCATCAGCTCACCAACATCCCACCTTCCCGCTGGTGCGGCTGGTCTGGGGGAGAGGAGCCACTGAGGGCTTCCTGGTGGTCGTGGTCCTCATAGAGGGCTGGCTTGGAGGGCTGGCCAGTGTGCAGTCCAGTGGAAACCTAGATTATCAAGTGACGGGATTGAGTACTTTCTTCACCCGTTAGACATGGGAAGTGTCTGCTTCGTACTTTTCTAGAAGGTTTTTCCTTTTGTCCTGACTCTAATTCTTAGGAGGATTTCTGAGCTACACCAATAGTGCAGGGCTGAGCCTGCCCCGAGTCTGGTCCTGGCTGCACGGAGGCCCTGGCTCGCACTGCTAAGAGGAGGTGTTTCTCTGCAGAGGGGCCTGATGGATGGGAAGGACACTTACCCTACTCACCTTTCAGTGTTCTGGTGCCCAACCAATTACCCATGTGGGAACACCACAGAAAGGTGAAGATGAACGCTAATTAGCACCTCCTAATGCATCTTAGCTGCAACACCAAACTATATCAACCACACCTGTGGACCAGAGTCAGACAGATTTGCTCTGGATGGCTCAGACTGGGCCTTCTCCAGAAAGGTCAGGGCCAGGTGGCCTTGGGGACTCCACACAGACTGCCATTCTTGTTGATGGTCCCTCTTAACACAGAAATCCTAACTATAAGCGTCTCTTTCACCTTCGGCAATTTATAATACTATATTATGTTTATAAACTCATGAGGTAATGCGTATTGAAAACATGTTGCAACTTTTCCTAAAAGATACAGTGAGGGGAAGAGAAACAGAGGAGTTGTTCAAAGTCTGAGGGACTAAATTCTTCTCCTGCATTACCAGGGAACCCTGGGAAGACAGAACTGACGGTGGCCACTGCAGTCCAGTCCTTCTGAGTGCCAGCGTTTTAAGGGAAATGGTGAGAAACTTTTTTTAAAAAAAAGTCTTCATTCTGGGGATGAATATGAAATTTCACATTTCATAAAAGACTCTAGCCAGATCTACTACAGGAGAAGTGACTCTGTTAATGTCATCTGTAAGGAAGGAGGGTACCTTTTCTGATTTCTAATTTGCATTGCCTGGCTCATATCAGACAAAGTAAAAGTAGTTATCTTCTCCGTATGGGCACCTTACTTGTCCCTGTATATGAAGGGCATTACAAGGATGTTTAGATTCTAGACCAGCTATGCATATCTCAATATCTGTTCACATTTGAGTTTGGCCATCAAAAAAAAAAAAAAAAGAAAGAAAACAAAAAAGAAGAAATAATCCCTTGAGCTTCTCAGAACTTGCCTAGATAACAAGCATGAAAAAATAAGACTAGCTCATTGGGCAAAGTGACTTTTTGGTGGAATGTGCCTTCTTGCCTGTAGAGTCTTTCCCCACTGTCCTCAGAGAATTGGTTCCAAGACACCGAAACTGGATGCTCACTCACACTTCTATAAAAGGGTTCAGGGTTTGCATACAAGCTACACTCATCCTCCTGTAGAATTTACATCATCTCTAGATGATTTCCAGTACCTAATGCCATACAAACACTATGTAAATTTTTGTGTGCTGGTCAGCTTTCCACTGCTGTGACAAAACCTGAGAACAACAAAGGAGGAAAGATGTGATTTGGCTCAAGGTTTGAGAAGTGCCAGCCCCCGGTTAGCCAGCTCCATTGCTTTTGGCCTGTTGTGAGGCCAAAATGTCTTGAAAGCTGCTCACTTCATGGTAGCCAAGAAGTGGGAAGCAATGGAAAGAGCCAGAAAAAAAGACCAGGGATGGGACAATTCCCAAGGTCACACCCAGGACCCACTCCCTTCACTGAGGCCCCACCTCCTGTTTCCATGACTTCCCAGCAGTTCCATCCAATTATGACCTCACCTACTAGTTAACCCACTGGTGAAGTTAGAGCCCCTATGATCCCAGCACTTCCCTAATGCCCATCATCAAGCACACCTCCAACACAATGAACTTTGGGGGTGCATACAGGGACCCTAGCATAGCAACTTCTTATGATGCTTTGTTAAGGATTCATGAAAAGGAAAACATCTGTACATGCGCAGAACAGATGCACCAGCACAGATGTGGCTGCAGAGCTCGTGAACAGGGTACAAGATAAACAATGTCCTCATGGCATGTGCAGGACACCGAGCACCCGTGGAGTGTAAGGGGCTGCAGTAGGGGGTCCCTGTGCATCACCACTGATGTGGAGTTAGCATAACGCCCTGAGCATAGAAACTCAAGTTTTGTCTTTTGGCACTTTCTGGGATTTCTTTTCCCCAAAAATATTTTTGATATGTGGTTGGTTGAACCCTCAGATATGGAAGGAGCTGGCTGGACCTCTGACTCAGCACTGGATTGCTCAGGAAAGCAAAGCCCATCCTCAGTCATCCAAAGCCAGAAGGGACTGCGTGGGAATTAGGTAACCCTAAGCCCAACGGAAGCCTGAAAAAGTGAGTGCTTAGAGGCTGCCATAGCATTCAGGGTTTTTAGTTAAGAGCTGATGCTGCCAAGAGTCAGGAGTCTATAGACAACTGCTGCATGGCTATGGACCCTCTCCATGCCCAAGGAGGAAGAGATGGTGAGGCTACGCCTTCTAAGTAATTCATGTCCTGCAAGAGCAGAGCATGACTTCGTGTGCAGGAACCAGAATGGCTCCTGTCATCTTCCACTTCCCAGTTTTCAAAGGAGCTCATCTTGCAGACAGAACTGAAAGTCTGCAGAGCGCTGCTGGCAAGGAAGGAGGATGCAGTTTCCAAGCTCCTAGCCTGTGAAATATAAGAGCAAACATAGAAGGCAATATATTGCCAACAGAAAATAGATGGCACAGCCTCCGTGTTACTCATTTCTAGTCTGATACCTTCCCTTCACTAACCACCCGCCTTCCTGTCTTCCAGGAACTGTAGAGTTCCCACTTCCAAGCACCAGCCAGGCCCGACCCTGCTTACCTTTGAAGATCAGCTAAGTTCGAGAGCACGTCTGAGGTGACACAGCCCAGGGCAGCTGCACAGTTCTGTCGTGTGCTCGCCCACTGCTGCTCACCGCTCAGCGCACGCCCTAGACAGAAGGTCAGGGCCAGGTTGTCTTGAAAATAATTTCCCACTGACTTCCATTTTCTCTCCTTTGGACACAACCCTCCCAATCTCGTCCAGTTCCATTTTTCTTGAATTAAAAACTGCGTCTGTAAACATCCTAACAGAGAACGGATTACCGACATGTCAGACATATTAGAGCCAACAGCAGAGCTGTCACCACTGTAAGGAGGGTTACTGGGAAGTGTAGCTGCTGTGCCTAGTTTAAAAGCGCACTCACTCCGTCCCACGTATACAGGTACACTTAATAGGACATTCTGATATTGGGTCTGACACGTGTGTGTGTGGGGGGTGTAAATGCATTTTATTATGGATCTTCTCACAAAAGAGAGGAAATAAACAATGCTACAGTACAACATTGTATGAAATGTTTTGCCACGTTGAACAGTCAGAGGAAATGACTACATTCAGCCTCCCAGGCGCGAGAGCCACAGGACAGGGAACCGGGACCAGCTATACTCCCAGGGGCTCTGTCTTCGGAGTGTCTGGGCTGAGGCCGAGGAGGGAGCAGTCATGCGTGCGATCATGACTCGGCTGCTTGCTCTGGGTGCCCGTCTCCTGCACCATGGCCTGGGAGCCTGGCACATCCCTGTGGGCCTCTACTGCTGGCTCCATTCTGCCAGAGAGGCTCAAAGGCAGCCAGGAAGAAGGTCCTGGCCTTTCCCCCCAAGCCCCCCTGTCCCTCCTGAGTGCAACCTGGACACACTTCTCCGTGGTGATGCCTGGCTGTGGGAAGCTCAGCGTGGACGCTCACAGAGCCAGAGCCTGCCTCGTCCCGCGGCTCAGGGATAGCGCCAGGCAGCTGCCCACAGACCCTGGGCTCCCAGATCCCAGTCCGCAGCCACAGAGCTGGCAGCACTCCCTGCTGTTACTACTTCCTGGGGACCTGCTGTTCTCTTGTTGCCTTTTTGGTTTCCTAGCTAACAACTATACGCATAGTTTACTATTCTGCGTATTAAATTCTCTCTTGTGACAGTGGGCACAGTTTCTATTCCCTAGCTAGACAGGGAGCAAAAGGGAGTGTTAGGGATGTGGGAGGTTTTGTTGAAGTCTTTGCTGGATGAATGAATGAATGAAGACAGGAATGAATCGGCCAACGCTCCCAGGGCTGCTCGGTAACTGTCTTTGTCCTCTGCGTGCACAGCAGGTGTGAACAGAGGCACTGCCACCTGGGAAGCCAGCAGCGTGTCTGGGGAACGCACCTTCGTCACCCTGCTCTCCGGGCAGGGTTCCAGGCAAGCCTTTCGGGGGCTCCTCTTCCAGGCCCTGCTCGCCCCAGCCACGGCAGCATGGCCTCCCACCCTGGGACAAACACCCCCAGCCGCACATGCCCTGCGCCGACAAGAGGCCAGCTGGGGCCACTGAGCAAGATACCAGCTCTGCAGGTGGGTGCAGCATTTCTGCTGTCTCTGCCGGACTTAACTTGGGCACATCTCAAACCTCATGCCCTGCTCTAGGGGAAGAATGTGGCCCGGGGGAGAAGTCTGCCTGACTATATTACCTGATTGAAGTCTCACAGTAGGAAGCAAATGAACCTGATTAAAGAAAATGGAGTACATTTCTGTCTTGGCAGAGAAAAATATATAAATAAATTGAAAAATGCACCTGAAATTTTCCCTAGCTACACTGCACTTGGGAGCTGGAGCCCTAAGACCAGACTGCCACCTGCTGTCTGCTGTGGACCTCGGACACCACATCTTTCTGAGCAGATGAGCAGAGCAGCTCTGGACAGGAGAGCCTACACTGTCTCGGTATGGAGCGCGGCACCAAGTGGCTGCCTGAGTCATTTCATTCCCCTGGAATATTTGGCCCTGTGTAGAGCAGGCAAACTTCCTGTATGTCGGGAGTAACTCGAGAAGAGGCAGGTTCTTGAGTACACAGCACTGCTTGGAAAGGTGCCTCCCTGGAGATCTGAATTATGCCACCATTTCTGGCAAAACCCTTGGGAGTTGAAGCCAAAGCTAAGCAGTTAATGTGTGCAAGTAAATAATCATGGCTGCTGATCGACAGTAAAAAGAGCCTATGAGCTCACGCCATGGAATCTGAGAACCACAGGAGGCTGTGGCAAGAAGGTTTTATAATATTCTTAGAAGCAGCTGATGGTTTCTAGATGTCATTGAGGGTGTTGGAGAGGGCAGTGCTTGTGTGAGAGGTTTGAACTGCAGGTTGACGGTGACGATGGGTTCGGTGATCATGGTGATGATGCTCATGGTAATAAATATCTCTTAACCCACTCCGTGAGGGGATGGGGACACGTTTCCTAATCAGTTTCTGAAATCTCCTGTAAGAGACAAAGCTCTTCCAGGAAAAAATTTAAGGCCAGGAATAAGATGCAAATGCCATAGGAAAACACAGACTTCCATGTGTTACTCCAAAGAGTAAAGAATCTCTAATTATAGCCAGGCATGGTGGTGCATGCCTGTGATCCCAGCACTCAGGAGGCTGAGGCAGGAGGATCACTGTGAGTTTGAGACCAGCCTGGACTACATAGTGAGTTCCAGGTCAGTCTCAACCATAGAGTGAGACCCTGTCTCAAAAACCTAATCAAACAAACAAAAAAAAGAATCTCCAATTATATAGTCTTCTGAAACAAATATTAGGGATGTGTGAACATGCTCAGGTGTGCCTGGTATGGTGAAGCCAGAGATGAAAACCAGAAAGATATAGGTGCTGAGGATGAGTTCAAGGGACCGAAGAAACTACAAAGGCAGAGTCCACCTCGGACCGTGGACTCACCATGGCTGATCTCAGACAGAGGCCACAGGAGGGGCATTTTCCTGCCAGTGCTGCATCTCTGCCCTCGAGCCTGGGAAAGTGGGAGAGGGCTCATGATGGCTATAGTCCTGCCCCACCAAGCCCACAATCTCCAGGGTCTACAGAGGGGCAGCATGAGGCTATGGCCTCCAGCAGGGTATTAGGGTCTTTTTCTGTTATGTTTTCTTTCTTCAAGTTTTTACTGCTTCATTTTTATTTCATGTGAAACTTACTTCACAACTTTGTGGTAGGTGGATGGTTTATCTTCTGCCCTACCACCAATAAAATCCCCCCTTACGGCCCACAGGCATCCATGCCAACTCTATCTACCATAAAACTCACCCTATCAACAGACACCTGACTGACACATTGGGGGGATCAAGAGATATTTGCAGCAAGACGGCTCTGAATCATCCACGACCAGGTTACGTGCAGTGAAATCTTGATGTCAAAGATAATTTCTTGCATCTAAATCTCCTAGTGTTGAGCATCCCATTGCGAAATGTACTGTATGGTGACTTGGTTGACCAGAAACCCTCTTCCAAGCAGACTGGCATATCATTCACACAGAGGCAAACAAAGTCAAATTAGTTTCCATACTGACATAACATTTCATTTCAGTAACACTTGAAGGCTTTCCGGGCGAGAGAAATGGACCTGAAGGTAAATCGTTAAAGAGTTGTCAAAGCTTGTCAGTGATAATGGCTATTTTTGTGACATTGATTACACTGACTTAGCAAAATTACATGGAGCATCTGTCTACGTGACCTCAGATTTCGGTGTCAGAACCATGAGGAAGAGAGAGCTAGTACAAGCTGGTCCTGGCTTCTGTAGATATTTCAGCAAAAACTGATTTCCTCGATTAAATAATTGAATGATGTTTTAAAAATCAAAAGAATAGGTTGCTTCGCTCTGGCACCCTCCCATCCCATGTGCTGTCAACAGACTGCACCAGGAACATGGCTTTATTTTTCTGTGTAGCAGTAAACTCTGTCTGGAGTAATACATGAGGTTTACAGAGCAACATAATGTCATGCAGACCCACAAACTCTCTGCGGGCACACATCTTCTTCCTCGTTTGCTTTCTGTCTATATAAGGTCCATCAGCGGAGATGTTGTCCTGCTCTGCCCGGAGCTTCGGTGATGATAAGCATAGGGAAAATGTCCAATAATCACCCGTTGATCCAGGAGTGAGGATCGGATCAATCCGTGCCAGTATGCGCTTTGGCTTTGTAGACTGGGCTACTTCTCCATTTTAAGGAAATACAGATGTTCCCATTTATGCAAAATGATTATCGAAATTTAGAAGGTGCTTTAATTACTATGCATGATACTTTTATGAAGATGAAACATCTTGTAAGTCATGTACATCTTTCTAATTCATTCATTTCTTACCAAAGCATGTGTCTCACATTATTAAGCACATCCCTTAGGCAACTGTCTTTTACTTTTGAGTCACCACGGCCTTTTCACATTGAGATGCATAAACTTCAGAAATCATTAATTTGAAATAGGTCAGGTCCTGGACAGGTCTGTTAAGTGATTGCTGTGTAGCCATTTATTGAGTAAATTTTGAGCTCAGCCGGTGGGGACTCTTTGCAATGCTTAACTACACGAAAACTGAATTGATGTTATCCTCGTGCTGCAAATAAGACACCTGAGCTTCAGACCCCAGTGATACTCCCAAAGTTTAACAAGTGCAAACTCTTCCAACTTTCGAATCCAGGCCTTTTCAAGTCATACTTGTGGAGATTTTTTAATTGGATAAATTAGTGCACAATAAAAGTACCTTTTCTCCCACAAATATGGAGCACAAGCAATACGGCTCAAATGGGTCAGCAATGCCACTTTACCAGTAAATATGACCTTTCTGCCATCGACTGGATATTTAAATATTAACTAGGGACTTGGGATCCCTCAGTAGATGGCACAGGTGGGCATGGGGTAGGGTAGGGTTTGGTGTCTCTGACTTTGGGTGCAATGGGCTTAGGTGTTATAAGATCAGTACAGCGATGACTTCTGGGACGCTGTGACGTCACAGATGCAATGAGACCAGGGTGCAGAGTTGGGGTGTTGTGTGCTCAGAGCTGTGCACGAGGAGCGTTGCTATGAACACAGGGGTTACTGTGTGATGTTGTTGTTAGGGACACCGGGAATGAGGCTGGACTCGTGTTTATAGATTTGTGATTTTATATTCTGATTTTAAAAGAAATCATAAGTTAGACATTTTCACGGGCCCTTGACACTACTGAGGGCTCCAAACCCGTGGCTGCTGTGCCCTCTGGGAGAGCCAGGCCTGGCCATGGGCCGGACCATGCGCCCCACACAGGGAGGGTGTGGGGACTGCTCCCTGAACCCCACCTCTGAGAGCTGCTCATCTCAGCCA